GGACAAAGTGAACCCAAATGGAGGTTCAGTAGCGTTGGGACACCCATTGGGGTATATTTGTGTGTCTGTATCCAATTAATTGAAGCCTAATTGTGGTGTTAAATGTATGGCAGGTTTTCTGGGGCTCGTATTGTTTCTCATTTGGCACTGAATCTGAGACCCAATGAGTACGGCGTGGCCTCCACTTGCAATGGGGGCGGAGGCGCCTCCGCTTTGTTACTCCAGAGTATGAGTTAAAGAGTTTGGATATGAATTAATAAGTTATATGTTTTCGTGGTGTTGTTGTTACATTATATTTTTGTATATTCTGTAATTGTATTTTAAATATAATTGTGTATAATGTATGACTTGAATATTTCACTGTTTAAAAATTTATATAAATTTTTATTTCTATAATCAAAATGCTCTATTAGTTATATAATGTTATGACACAAAAATGTTCACTTATTAAAAGAGTTTAAAACTTGATAGAATTATTTAACAATTAAATTAATTTGCATTCTAGTATCTTAAGTCATAAAGTTTCTCATTTAAATAGCAATGTTTCTGTATATTGGCACCCATTTGATGATAATAATGAATACAGTAGAATATAACAATACCATATAAATAAATTTTCTAATTTATACTGTAGTAAGAAATCTACTGTACAGTACAGTGCAGTATATCATAGTTGACAATAAAATTGTAATATTTAAATGTGTGGGAATGTGTGACAAGAGTTTGTTATTTAAAATATACAGAATATACTTTTAATACTACAGTATAATAGTATACAGTGTATTTCTACAGTAATATACCTGTACTGGAAATGTAGTGTATTCTGTGCTATTCATAGAGTGTTGTAACACTCAAACATGCTAAATATATGATATAGCATGAGAATTCTCTGTAGACAATTCTCATTCATTTGTATCCAGAATTTCTATATAGATTTAAATGTGTTTGTATTTGAATATACATGGATATTTGTATGGAGAATGAGTATGCTGCTAAATAATAAATATAGTAGTTATTGTGGTGTATTTTGAAAACATTGCATCGAAATGCATTCATGTACTGTATGTGATATACAGTAGTATGACAAATACATATAAATAATAAATAAAATTATTAATTGAAATGAATTGAATACTCAAACTGACGTCTAATATAATGTTTGAAAATGTTTGCAAAAATGTATAGCATTTCCTAATCATCACTACAATTCAATTGAGTTAAAAGTTTTTTATTATTGTTGTTCAATATTAATATGATTTCAATTTAATTTTATAATTAACTTATCATTTAATAAACAATAATAATTACAAATTGTTAATATATTTAAATCTTTTTTAAGTTTTTAGTTTATTTCCCTTAAGTTTTGTGAATTCAAAGTTTGGTTGATACATTTTTTGATATTAATCATACGCTCTGTTTATAATTAATATAATATTGTTTTTATTAAATTTGATAATAATATTGTATATAATTAATATTAAGTTAAATATATAAGTTAAAATAAAATGAAAAAATTAAATTTCCAAAAGTTGCGTGAATATTAATTTCAATTTTATCAAGTATATAAATTAAAAAGTAAGTGCTTTATTACATTATTATAATGACAGGGCTATATTCCCAGCACAATTAGTTGAATATTTATTAATTTAATCAAATTTTACACTTTGAGTGTTATGTAAATATATTGTAATATCAAAATTTGTTGCATATTAACTTAAAGACTTAGAGTGCAATTTGTTAGACAATGTACTCACAAATGAGTAGTTTGTATGAATCGGATAGTTATCTGTCAGTCCTTACACACACTTCCTTAAGATATGACATTTTTGTCGAGACATCTCAAGACATTTATCACTCTTAAAGAGTTATTTTAATCCTTTTATGGGAAGCAAATTGAGCGCAAAAATGTCCATTAGTTTAGTGAATAAGTCTTATATATAGTTGTTTTATATGGGCTTTGAAAATGAGAGACTCGATTAAGGATATTATATTATGTATAAGAAAATCGATATTTAATTATCTGTGAAAAGCACTGATGACTAGTCTTTTAGTAGTATTTTTGATGAACTCATTTATGTCTTTCTTTATAATTAAGAGATAATTATCTCCACAATCGATGTCCACATTATTTACATCCAATCATCCATTCATATCATTGATGCCATTCAAGGAATTGATGTGATAATCATGTGTTGAGTGCATACAAATACACCACAAATGCATTCATCTCTTAGTATAATGTTGTAAAGAATTGTGTTTTATTCTGTTGTCCACAAGAATTATTGATAAATAATGTCACAAAAGTCACACCCAATGAACTGTCACAACAGACAACTGCCGGAAAAGACATTTGAGTGATGCATACATACGGCCACTGAACCAAACTTCCTTAACTTAAAGGTGTCATCACCTCATATGCAGTGTATACTCATCTGATTTTTATAAATTAAGACTTTATGGTCACACGAAGTCCTGACCAATAAAATACAAGTGGTTGCAATTGAATCCCAATATTGTTAATGGCTGTCAACTCAGCGGCTAAGACACTGTCATAAAGACATTGCCGACGGAATAGAGATCAGCGGTACATATGATGACAATACCGATGGCGGAGCTGGAGATCGATGACGTGGCCTTCTTGACCAGCTCTGACAGCAATGGACACAACGATAGCAAACAGTCGTCGACTACCAGCGGCTGTGGGGGTCGTATGTGCGGACGGGCCGGTCGAGTGGGTCGACACCACCGCACGAACCAAACCCATGCAGTGATTCATTGGCGCAAATCCAATGTCCTAACACTTGGATTGTGTTCACTACTCGTCCTAACGATTATTGCCTTAATTATAGCCTTCTTTCCATTTCATAACCAATGTTTCAGTGGAGAGGTGTCGGTGCCGTCTGGAACCGCACTCTTTAATGATAGCCATAATGCGGGAGTTAATGGTTTGTCACAACTACTGTCCACCAGCGGCGAGCCCTTCCCGTGGCAGGACATACGGTTGCCAGCGTTTATACGGCCGCACCGGTACGAGTTGTCGATGCGGCCTAATATGAGTACGTTTTATAACACCGGAAATGTAGTCATATGGCTGTCCGTCGCTGAGAGCACCGACTTTTTGGTGATACATACGAAGAAGCTTAACATTACTGAAGTATTGGTGACCAATGATAACGGAGCGATTCCGGTAGTCCGACAGCTCGAGTGCACACAACACGAACAGTTGTTTATCGGTTTGGCCTCACAGTTGACACCCGACAGGAACTACAGTCTAAGACTGACTTTCGAGCGTCAATTAGAGGAACAGTTGGAGGGATTCTATGTGAGCTCCTATACTGACAGTCGCACCGGTATTAAGAAATATTTATTAACCACACATTTCGAGCCCACGTCCGCCCGGTCGGCGTTTCCATGTTTCGATGAGCCGGCTCTTAAAGGTATGTCCATTAGATTATTTATATTTTACTATACAGTACTGCATACTAGTATACTAACGTAACGTTATATTCAATTTTTGTAGTTTTGCAATTTTGTAATTTTAAACAAAATTACTTTTAATAATAAATAAATTATGGGCAATCATTATAATAACTTGTAAAAATATACAAATCACTTCTCTATACTTTATACAACAAATTATATTAATATAATTTATTAAATTAATATTTTAAAATTAGTTTTTTTTATTGTTTTTTTGTCAAATGATAGCATCGTTTTTGATGAAATTGATTCACGAAAGAGGTTTCGAAGCGTTTTTCAATTCAGAGAAATCCAATTCATTGGCCATCGATGGCGAGGGGCTTATAGTGTCAATATTCGAGCCGACAGTTCCCATGTCTACCTATTTGGTGGCATTCATTGTATGCGATTTCAACACCCATACGGCCACCACTCGAGAAGGAGTTAATATCCGAGCAGTAGTGCCCGGAGAACAGGACTCTCAGGCCGGTTATGCCCTCAAATCAGCCGCTTCTATACTTAGCTTCTATCAGGACTTCTTTAACATTACGTATCCGTTAAGTAAACTGGATTTAGTGGCTGTTCCCGACTTTGGTGCCGGTGCTATGGAGAACTGGGGGCTCATAACGTTCCGAACCAGTGTTTTCCTATATAATGATAATGAAAGTAATAGTGAAACCCAGGAACAGGTGGCTATAGTTGTCGGTCAGTATTTAATTGCTATTGAAATACATAGTATTACCGATAATTGTGATGTTTGTGTGTCTCAGCCCATGAATTGGCTCACATGTGGTTCGGAAATCTGGTGACAATGAACTGGTGGGACGACCTCTGGCTTAATGAGGGCTTCGCCTCGTTTATGGAGAATCTCGGCGTTAATTATATACACCCGGAATGGTATGCCTTTCATCACTGATTATGGGTTTTTCACTACTGAGACTCTCGTATGGGAGTTCAGCTCCGGTTGAATACGTTTGCTTCTATAAATAACCTAGTTCATTTTCTTTCTTTTTGTCGTTTAATCGTTTTTTATATTATTTATTTATACTTATTATTATTTATATATTTTTATTATCAGGAAAATGTTGGACCAGTTTGTAGTGACGACCACTCAGTACGCGATGGCATTGGATTCGCTACAGAGTTCGCACCCAATCAAAGCCGATGTTAAGAACCCATCAGAGATTGAAGCGATATTTGATGTGATTTCCTATAAGAAAGTAATTTCCCATTTCTTTATTATAAACCCAATTGATTGAAGTGTGGGTTAATGGTGTCGATTCCCTCCCTCTCTCCCAAAGGGCGCCGCTCTCATCCAAATGCTGGAGAATTTTCTGGGCGTCGAAAACCTAAGACTCGGTCTCTCCAAGTATTTGAATAAATATCAGTACAGAACGGCCCGAACCAGCGATTTGTGGCACTGCTTCTCAGATGTATTCAGTCTTTAATGGATTACACATTAATTGGTATTAAACGGTAGACTTTTTTCTAAACTTAAAGGTGAGCCAAAGTCAGGCCATCAATGTGTCGGCCATAATGGACACGTGGATCGAGCAGAAGGGATACCCTGTGGTGAGTGTGAGACGGGTTGGCGACCAACTGGTGCTAAGCCAACGGCGCTTTCTGTCAAGTGTTCCGGACTCGGACGCCACCACTACATCGGATATATCGCCATTCGGTTACAAATGGATAATACCGGTGACACTAATTACTGATGAAACTGCAGGCACTACACCGCAGCTCATTTGGTTCAACACGACTGAGATGTCGGTGCCGTTGGACGAGAGGCACCAGTGGTTTAAAGTGAATGTCAATCAAAGCGGTTTCTATCGCGTCAATTACGACCCCTCCGTATGGCAGGCGCTGACTGATGTCCTCCACAACCACTCGTTTAATCGACACGTGCTGTCGGCTACAGACAGGGCTAACCTACTGGACGACGCCTTTTCCTTCATGCGGATCGGACTATTGGATATCAGGGTGGCTATGGAGCTGAGCCTCTACCTTCGTAATGGGGAACGGGATTACGTGCCCTGGGAGACGGCGCTCTACCAGTTCGGCATATTAGATACGCTAATGTTTCAGATGCCAGCCCTTCAGAGATATATCTGCGGCCTCATTGAGCCGTTGATGACCATCTGGGGCTGGAAAGACCACTCGTACGACCTGATGCTCGTCCGTAAACTGCGGTCCCTGTTATTGAGGGCCGCCGTCTCCTATGGGGACAAACACGCCGTGCAAATGGCGAACCGGTATTTCCAGTCGTGGATGATTAATGGCACTAAAATACCGGCAAATTTGCGGGAAGTGGTCTATAATACTGGTGTTCAGTATGGCAGTGAACGCGAATGGATCCACTGTTGGCACCGGTATCTCAACACTAGTATACCTTCTGAAAAGAAGCTACTGTTGGGAGCGTTGGGCAGCACTCGGAACGCGTGGCTACTGTCGCGCTATTTGAACAGTTCGTTGGATAGGGATAGTGTGCGACCCCAGGACACGGTCCACGTGATCACTACAGTGGCCCGAAATCCCGTGGGAAGGGATATGGTGTGGCGGTTCGTTAGGGAAGAGTGGGCGCCCATTATGAAGCTGTTCGGTGAGGGATCCTTCTCGTTGGAGACCATCATTTCCGAAACCACATCCCACTTCACCACTGAGTTTGAGTTGACTGAAGTTCGCACATTTTTTGACACCCTTTCCACGGTTGGCAGCGGTGGACAGTCGGTGGTGCAGAGTCTGGAGAAGATCCGCGCAAATATTTATTGGAAACAACATATCGAGCCCTCTGTGATCGCGTGGCTCACCAATCACACGGCCACACCCGATGGCCTACTCTAATGTCTACTACCGGTGCTATATTAGTGATCACTAAGGGGTCTGTCAATGAGTACGGGCACAAAGTTGGGACTTCTCACTTTTTTGTTGGTTCATAATTATTAGACGTCTAGACTTCTGACCTCTTCTCCAACTTTGTACTCATTGAGTGATTCCTAAGTTTTGTGAGTTTTTATGGGTTGTTATCTTATATATTATATTTGTATATATTTGATATGACTTTTGGTAGTTATTTCTCACTATTAATAATGAATAGTATGACTGGTAAACAACAGTTACTTTGTGACATTATCATGATTATAAACAGTATACCATAAACTGTACAGTAAGTTACAGGTATAAGGCATAGTCTAAATGAATTGTTATCAATTGAATAATGTCTTTTGAATGAATTTAAGAAAATATTATACGACAACTTTAAATAGCCAGAAACCTAAGGCTATGGTATAAAATTATACAGTCTCTCATATACAGTACAGTACAGAATAGTGAACAATAATTTAATTAATGTACACCAAAATCATTAGTTTCTTTTTGTATATATTTATATAAGATATGATATTTACAAAAGAATTACATTTCGTTACAATTTATTCAGTATTTTAAACTAAACTAAATCTTAAACTAATCTGGATATTATTCAAAAGACCATTTACATAAGATATTTACATTCATTATATGTAATGCCAAAATATACATACATTTTACTTACATTTAATTAACTGTTGGTTTTAAAGATTATTTTAGAATTTATTTTTTAAATTATTTTGATATTTAATACTCATTGACAGCTAATATAGTGTTTTATTCATAATTGTTTGCTACTTGTGCTAAACTACTCATACGAATTGAAGTAATTTATTTGAAAAAATTGTCATGATTATAAGGAATTGACTGAAAGGTATTATTTATATGAATATTATTTGGCAACTATTTTACAAAAAGTTTTTTTAAGACAAGAATTTTAAGAGTTTGTAAAAGTTTTCACACATTATTTGCTGACATGTATACTGCAGTAATATTATTTTGTGTCGTTTTTTCTAATTCCTAATTAAAAGTCAGATTTAAAGTACAATTAATTTTCAAAAATTGTGTTTATATTTGAATAAAACACATTAACCAAATAAATGACAAATAATCTAAACTTAATTCTAGTCTGTAACACCATTTTAACGCTTATATCTTATTACAGTTAAAAATTTATATTGTCTTATATCATATATAGTATATTTAAAAAAGATTTTATTATTACTAGAATTTATTTATAATTATCATTATTGTTCAGACAATATAATTTTTACCATTATTATTAATGATGATTATTATTATATTTAATGTTGTAAACAATTTTTAACATTTACATTAAACATTAATTAATAAAGGTTTTACGAATGAACTGTACATAAAATTTCTGAACTTACAATGACCGAACGGGAAATGCTCTCGCTAATTGTAATTAAACCCGACAGAATTATATTCGTATAGAATGGTGTAGTAATAATATCCAGGTCCGGTAAACTATGGGAATGTCTTAGGTGTCCAAATCGGTGGCTATATCGGGCGACGCGCTATAAAAGGTCTATACTTTTTGTTAAATACATTCATTCCTAATATTATAACTCAGACTCGTTTTTATAGCAAAATCATTATTTAAATACATGAATTATATGACATGTGTCTCAATAATACACAAATGTAACCCTGAACGATTCTGGTATTGATTGTAATAAATATTTATTAATAAATATATAATAATTACAGCGAATGTATAGAATATAATACAAAATATATTACAGAATATATGAGTATATCGTTTGGTTTTGTGACACAAATGAAATTAATGAGATATTTATCTTTCGGTGTCGTTGTGTTGGGTGGGCTCAGGGCTCAGTGATTGGGAAACCCCTCGTCCTCCGAGCTCCAACACCACCTCCTCGTAGGTGGGCGGAGGGGGTCTGTCGTCTGACAGGTTTTGTGGCGACAAAATTTGCTGCGTATATCTCAGGTGGTAAGTGGCACTGGGGGTCTTCATAGTGGATGACCCCACCATCACCTGGTTATATGAGGGCGGATCAGACGAGTCCGATGGTGACGGCGATTGGGCCGACTCTGGCGGTGCACCCGTTTGGCTGTCGTTGCGATTCTTATTCGACAATAAGTCATATATAGCAGCGAAAGGACCCATACATATGACAAAGATTCCGATTAATATAAATAGCATACCTGTCCAATGAAACACATTTTATTTTATCTTAGAATTTATTATTAAAACTAACTTATGTGCTATAATTATGATATCAGTTAGTCAAGAAACCCTGGTTAGATATTGGACATTAAATTTTCATAATTTCAAACCAAAAATTGACAAATAAAATTATTATAATATACTTTATATTTTTAGTATAATTAGTATACGAATTTGCTTCATAAATCAATTTTTATAATACTTTATTGTATAAAATTAAAAGTTTTGTTATAATATTATTATAAATTATAGAGCAAGGTGAAAATTATCAATACAAGTTTGTGTACTAAAAATGTTATAAATTATTTTTAAAATGCTTTGTGATAATGTTATGAAACGTTGTAAACTTATTAATTTAAATGTATGTCTAAAATATATAAATGCTGTAAATGCCTAACGATGATTTAACACTTTATATTTATTATTCAATAAAAACACTTGGTTTGAATCATTCAAATAATTGTTATTTTGTGGTTTTATATTGCATCTCAAGGATAGACGTTATCAATACAGTATATATTGTAAATAATTTATTTTACATTTTTGGTGATAATTGTAGTACTGTATTTTATTTATACTGTATTTCTATTTCATTGATATCTATTTTTATAGTTTATGCCAATAATAGATGTTTTACAATGTTTGATAATAAAGCTTTTATATGATTTTCATATTGTTATATTGTTTTAATAGTAATAGAAAGATTATTATCTCACTTGTCAGTAGTATTATATACTAACTAGTAAGTAGTTTAAATGAAAATTATTTCTATACGTTTAAAGAAATGGTAAAATAAAATACAAAAAGTGATTAACACAACAAATCAGAATAAAATGTCAATTAAGTTATATTAATAATATTTTTCATAGAATTATATCGGAGTATGAAAACCTGAATAAAAACAATTGTAATCTAATATCGGAATAATTCAATATATGTAATAACTTTATAATACTGTATAAGTTCAATATAAAAATGGATTTATTATTTATTTGACAATACTATTAAATATTATTTTCTAATAAATTATTAGTATTAGATATAGAGATTAATAAACACTTTCGCTAGAAAATACAATAAATTCATACAGTATCAGACAATTGCTAATCAAATCAAATAAGTCTTTGAACTCTGTGTTAGTTGTTTATTAGAGATTTGTTTTGTTTAATGTATGAATTCATTTGTTAATTAGTTTCATAAACACATGATATTTACGGAAGTTTTTGCAATAAAGCATAAAAATAATGATTAAGTCTAATTACAACAATTAGTAACTTTAAAGCAATTTATCAATAAATATCATTGGTAAAATGATTTTTGCTATATTCTAACTGTTAAACAATTCACTATAGATAACTCAAAGATATCTCAATTTTTCTATTAAAATATTGATTGAGTGGAAAAAAATTCTATTAAAATTAAACACAATATTCAACATCATTAACATTGTGAGTACTGTAATTATGGATAAATAAAAACTTACGATACCCTATCATTAAAATTAAAATTAATTTAAAAGTTGACAAGAACTTAAGTATAAAGAATATAACTTACAATTTACTATAACTTCAAACATACTCTATTAAATTATTCTTATAAATAATTATGAATTTTTAAGATTTACAGAATTTAGGCAGTAGCCCTCTATGTTAGCCAGCACAATATATAGACAATAAACTTATGCTAATATTGCGTATTTTATTTTGTCAATAATTGAAGTGATATTTTGAATATTAATTGGCGAGTAACTGGTGGTGAAGTAATATAAGGATCAAATGATATGCTCACCACTGCTGGCAACTGTAGCCGACGTACTGTTGATTACTGACGACCTCAACACTATGCCCAACGCCAACATCAGTGCTCCCAATATAATGGCTGTCCAACAGTTATGCTTCACCACTGACTTTATACATGATTTGTTCACTTTTAGACATTTGGGTCTAAGATGAGCGGTCATTATGTGAGACAATCAGACAATCAAACAGAATAAACTGGTTATGCAACTAAGTTAACAAATTTAAAATCTTTGTATTTAAGAATTTTATATAAGGAATAAGTTGATCCAAACCATGACCACCAAACAAGACATTTCCAACAAAAGCAATTGACTATACGATAGTTATGTGAAAAAACAATAAGTTTATAATAAGGTTTTTTTAGATACAAGACTCTTAATGTAGAGTTAGTGGCGAATAATGCAAGTTATCATTACATTCACAAAACCCTTGTATCAAACCAAACAAAGCTATTGATTGAATATTATTTTCCTATAGGATTGTCTACTCATTGCTAATTTGCTTATTATATAGATATATACAATCGGTTATCTCGTTTGACTACCGGTGCAAATCAAACAATTAAATGCATTGTCATATAGTCATATCTGTAACCAATAGTAAGGTCGATAATTAACTGCTAATTAACAGCTTCTGGAGGCCTGGCCTCAGATATTAATTGCCATTTGCATCATTAGATGTACTCAATATCCACATCACGTCAACTAATTAATGGTTTTGTGGTTTGATAATAACAAATTGTTATCACAAATTTTATTAGTTATAAATATTCGTCTCTCTCTCTCTCTCTCTCTCCTCTTCCCACTTATTATTTATTAATAATCAATCAATTGAAGCGATTATGTTATTATTTGAAAAAAATTGCTAATGAATAGTTAATCACTTTAAATCACTTTGTTTGCTTTAGTTTGATTAATAATTAAAATTTTCTTATATTAAAACATAATATTTTTTTGAACATTACAAACATTTGTCAAAGACATCGATAGTTAGATTAATAGGTTTGTAAGATAACGTTTAAAAAGTATTATTTAGAAAACTGATTATTTTATCATTTAATTGATTAATATCAAGATGAATTTAAATATTTTATTCATAATTGAAATAAAAATATTTGGAACTTTCACGAACTTGTTCAAAAATGCACATAATATTAATTTATGGAGAATGTAATAAAATATCCACTTTTTCAAAAATTTTATAAATTCAAAATAAAAACTTGGGTAATTCATAAGTTAATTAGTTTATGGACAATATAAAAGTAATAATAGGTTGAGTGTACTTTGCTTTAATATACTCTAAAGTAGGGTATAGTTGTGTAGTCGTTGATAGATAATAATGTACTTATTATAAATTTATTACCGGGGTAATAAATTTAATACCTTTGTAATCAATTAATATATTCGGATTCTTCGGTCTTATTGATTCAATTTGTCCTTACTTTACGGATTGATAAGTCAATCACTAAGTAAAAGATAACGACAGACCTTATAGTGATTGTCAGTAGAATCTACTGAAGAACGAGTGGATCATCGAGTTATATAAAGTCATTACTACATAATATATTGAAATTTAAGAATTTAATTAAATTCGAACATGATCCCTATATTAAAATACTTTTATTAAAATGTATTTTACATTCAAATGTAATATAGTTAATTTTTAAATTATTATTTAACTTGACTTTGATTAGTATTCTTATACATAAATGTATTAAT